CGGGATCAAGGGAGAGGAAAGTTTGGGTGATTGCGATGGTAAGGGATCACTAGATGCGCTTCTTGCTGGGAGGAGGATTCGCCTGCTGTACAATCTTCACATCCTGAGGAGATCGCCGCAGTCCTGTGTAGAAGTGAAGGAAAGTGAGTGAGAGGTAAGTGAGAAAAGGAGGAGGAGGAGGAGGAGGATAATTAATGGTGTAAGACTAAACGACCAACCTCTGAGCGCCTCCTTCACTTCTTCTTCGACGTGCCTGGCGTGATGTGCGAGAGGCAACGAGAAAATCGCAGGAGCTCTGAAGAACCGAAGTGAGGAGAAGAGGGGAAGGAAGTAGCGAGCGTGAAGGCGAGGAGGAGGCGAAGTGAGGGGAAGGGGGAGGAGGAGAGGAGGGGGTGAGTGAGTGGGGAGGGAGGAAATCGAAACCTGTGGATGATGATAAGAGCAGGAGGACGAAGGTTCTGTTTGACGATGCTGTAAAAGTATGTGAGTCAGGCGAGGGAGGGGAGGGAGGGGAGGTATAAGAGGGTGGGAGGAGGATATTTCACCGCAAGAATGTCTTTACTGTCCTCATCCTCCTGTTGAGTCGAAGAACTTCTCTGGTCTCGAGCTGGTACTCTACTCGACTCATCTGCAATGAAGGAGGAAGAAAGAGAGGAGCAAGGGGAGTGTAGGGGGGGCGGAATAGGAGGAGGACGACAGAGTTAGGACGACGAACAAGTGGTTAAGCGGGAGAGCACATTCGAGGAGGAAGAACAAGGAAGGGAGAGGGTAGAGAGGAGCAACAAGTATGAGAAGGGAGAAGGGATGAAAGGAAGGAACGGATGAGCAGGAGCAGGAGAGAGGGAGCGCGAGAAGGGGAGGGGAGCAGACAAAGGTTATGAGCCTCACAAAGAGTCGATGATGTCGGGCGTAGCACATCTCAGCTGCTGCCTCGAGGGGATGCAAGCGAGCAAAGGAAATCTTGTGATACCTTGAGAGATGATGAGAGAGGAGAGAGGAGAGAGGAGAGAGGAGGGGAGGGGAGGGGAGGGGAGGGGAGGAGAGGGGAGGAGAGGGTTCGGTGGTTCAGTTGAGTGACCTTGTGATGGAGCTGAGGAAGAAGTTTCGAAATGCCATGAAGTCCTTCATGCAATCCTGCGAGGAGGATGAGAAGAAGGAAGGAAGAAGGAGATGTAGGGGGGAGGACCGATGATCTAGGGAGAAGGAATGAGGAGGAGGAAAGAGAAAGCTGGTGGTGATGGTGTTGGCGGAAGAGGATGAGGAAGAGGGGGAGGAGGAGGAGGAGAGGGGAGAGATGAAGCATTCTGAGGAGGAGGAAGAGGTACATGGCGAAGTTGTCTTGGCGGCCTCTTGTTGCTCATAACAATCTGCTTCATAATTAATGTTGGACCTGCCGCTCCTCTTTCTCCTCCTCCTACCGCTACCAAGTTGCGAACAGCAAGCGGAAACGCTTCTGAAAGGACGAGAATGAGTCCAAAGCAGAACAGCAAGGAGAGAAGCAGGAGGGAGGAGGGGAGAGGGGGGGGGGGGGGGATGGGAGGGAAAGGGGAGGGAAGGGAGGGGGGAGGGGAGGGAGGGGAGGGGAGGGAGGGAGGGAGGGAGGGAGGGAGGGAGGGAGGGAGGGAGGGAGGGGAGGGGAGGAGGA